ATATATATTTATTTATATATATATATATATATATATATATATATATATATATATATATATATTGCAAAATTCTTATTAAAATTAATAGAGTCCGGTAGCCTCTCTTATACTAGAGGAGGTAAAGTCCGTGCTGTGCACGGGCCCAATATTAATAAACCTAAAATTGTTCTTGAGGTGTTCGAATATTTTTAAATAATCTTTTCAGGTATTTAAGGGAATATTTATAAAATACTTAAGTATTTGACTGCTTAAGATATGTATATTGGTCGATGAATAAATAAATAACTCTTAGCAAGAAGAATGACCCTTTCTAAATTTGAAAACAATTTAGCTCAAATTTACAATTCTACTCTTAATGAGAAGCTTTTATAACCAGACAAATACTTTGGGCCCCTTTTTAACTTGTTTAGAACCACAAATTTCAAAAGTCTTATTTTTTCTTCAACTCCGTGCCCAGTTAAACAGGTTCACATAAGCTAAAATGGAGGGAGTATAATATATATTGCATGGATTAGTAATAGAAATTGTTCCAAGTGCATACAAGCACTGAACTTCACGAACAAAAGTGTAGATGGCATCCATAATTAAAAAACTCAGTAATCATTATTCGGTTGTATTCACCAATAACTTCAAATAGCTTCTGAATTTTAAAATGCCTAACTTCCAAGTAAATATACATAAAGTAAGATATATAAGGTTCCAAATTAGGTTGTGCATTATTGATCAATTTTTCATGTATCAATTATTATTAGCTCGTTAATAATCAACCAAAATAGTCCCTATTTATTTCAGGGATAATTTCACATAAATACAACTCACACACCTGACTAGCAACATGATAGTCTAGATACCACTTTGCAAATCTATAGTCCAAAAATAATAGGCTAATTCCCGAAAGACAGCTTATTTCACACAATCAACTACGGTTATTGCTCCCTCTTTATACAACTAGTTATTTTCATACACTATTATGTGCAATTGCTGAAGCAATCCTACAGGATAAAAGAAAAATAAAGACTTGGTAAAAGAATTGTAGAATCCCTCCAACGCGTACAAATTTTTTTTATACAGCACATACACGAAAAAGAAGAAGAGAAGGAAGTGTCAAACTTCCGTAGAGGCCTCTTACACACTAACAATGTATATACATCCTTATAAACTGAAAAATATATATAATTATACAACATTATACACAAATATACACATTTATACACAATTATACAATACTGTATAACTTGTATAATAGTGTATAAGACGTGTTTGTATATTCATATACACAATTATACACTATTATACGGTGTTTATACAAACTGCTACATAGTTATGATTTTTATCCAAGCCTCGAGTTGTAGTAGAAGGTATTGGATGATTCAACTCGTTTATAGGTTAGCAATTTTGCACCAACGATTCGGAATTCAAAGCACAGATACGATACACCCAATTTCAGATTCGAGACTTCAAGGAGGACAACACACATATCACGGGAATCAATAACTTGCGATGAGCCAAGAAGGTCAACAAGCTTAAGAACAAGCAAGTCTGGAGCTTTCTGCTTTAACGTGTTGAAGATTGATTTAGCTTCCAATCTTTTCTCCTCGGAGCTCGACCAGACATTGGAAATTAAGGTTTCAAACTGCAAAGAGTCAGACCCAATTTCAAAAATCTTCAATATTCTTCTGCTTGCCACCATGGACAACGGAGTAGGAGCTCAGGCCTTCTTCGAACCATTGATGGCAGAACTGCGTAGGGAGTAGGGGAGGGGGAATAGCGGGGGCTAGGTTAAGAGAGGATGATGGATCTATGTAGGTTGGAAAGAAAGAAGCGAGAGGCGGTGAGAGAGAATTTGGTGTGCTGGGAATGAAGAAAGAAGAAAATAATAAAAACCCTAAAAGTGTGTCTTTAATAATGGGCTAAAGGCTGAAAAATTTCTTTCAAGTTATGTACAACATGGGCTAAATAGGGTAAGAGTTTCAAATCAGGGCCATTTTCGATTGGGCTGCTAGGCCAAGTGACAAGGGCCGTAATTCTTTCTTTATTTCATCCTTCTGAATAACCAAGGAGATTGAATTTTTCTTCGTTTACATTTGATTAGTTAGTAATATTAAATAAAATGATATATCTTTTTAGCAGAAGGAAAAATAATCATAAAATGCAAATAATAAAGATATTAACCTTTGGATTGTAATAGCATGAGTTCTAATTGGATCCCATGATATTTTCAATCAAATTACTCTTTTCTTATATAAAAACATAATTAATTTACCACTAATGTTTAAACTAAATTGGAGCTAGTGTTTTTTTCTAAATGGGAATGGCTTAAGTAATGATTAATAAAAGAAACTTAACGTTTTGATTTGAGATGGTGCAATATCATTTAAGAATTAGCCTTATGTAAATATTTGTGGCTTGGTTATAATAGTTAATATTATCCTTGTTCTTGTTTTAAAATCAAATAAGAAATAAGAGAAAAAATGTTTACACACTTCTAAAAATATTTTAAGCATTATATATTTAGAAATATAGAACTTTTACTTTACATTAGGTTAGTAAATTGTTGCATAATTTAATATATTTTTTTAGATCTTATTAGCTGTACTTTTCTCTACCATTTTTATTTGGCATATCATTTTTTATATTTTGAACTATCTTATAATACATCTTGCGATCTAGCTAAATACAAAGCTCCTCTCATCCCCAAATAAAATTTGACTGACAAAGAATATATAGTAACAAATAAATAATATTATCAAAGTACATAAATATTCAAAAATTACATAAATTAAAACTATAAAATCTATTTCTATTTCTACTACTATACTATAAGAGAGGATAAGCAAGGAGCTCATGGTCAACATGCTTGCTTCATCATAAGGGTATCTTTGTCATTTCCTGTTCTCTTGACACCCTAATCTGCCAGGTAGAAAGCACCGCTTCCAATTTCTTTATTTTTTGCTCTGCTTTTGTTTGGTACAAGTTTTCTTCTGTGCTTTTCTTTACCCTCTTCATAAATTCCTTTTTTCTACTACTATTGTATTTTCCTCTGTTCAAAGCTTCAGATCTTCTGTAAAAAGATACTCGGGGTTTTCGCTTGATTAGCCTTTTCTTCAGTAAAGGTGAAAACAAACTAAGTTTGGGTTATGATTTTTTCTCTGTTTTCACTAATTTGTTTATTTTGCAATTAAGACTTTGTAGAAGATAAAAACTCTGTATTTTTTTAATTCTTGTGAGTATTCCTTTATTCTTTGTCAAATGCATCCATATTGTTCCTAATTGGACTTTATATGGTGGGCATTTGTTAGTTTTTATGTTCATTTGGGTAGTTTTTATTGAAATTTCTTCATGCATGTTGGTAATTTTGTCTGATTTGCTCATGTGTGTGTTTCCCCCTCACAATCGACCAATTTTACTTGCGTCGTCGCAGTATTCTTGAACTGGGTTATTCTCTTCTTCAAAGGTACTAATTGTTTCTTCATTATTTTTATAAGATTTTGATTACACCATAGTTTGTCAGTAAATTTAATTTTTTCTTTTGAAAGTTGGATTTCAATTGATTTTTTCTTGAAGATTAAGCTTAATTGAGCTTTTCGTGAAAGTATTGATTCTAATGAATAAGTTTTGTTGAAGTTTAATTGATTCTTAAATGAATTCTCAGTTTTGGTAGAGTTTTATCAGTAAATCTGACCTTTTCTTTCAAAAGATGATATAAGTTAATTTCTTGATAAATTTTTTATTCTTCTAAATAATTCGTTGCTTGAATGAAATTTTTTCCTTAAAATGTTTGCACTTGAAGGTGAAAACTCTGTTTTTTGAGTCATCCGTTTCTTAGGAGTGTTTCGTGCTCCTGAACATTTTTGTTTACTATGATGTTTTCCCTTTCTTTCTTCTGTATCTCATGTTCCATGGCTTCATTAATTGGCTGTTACTTTCCTCTTCCCACAGAGGTACACTTGAGTGATTTTAAGCTCATTCTCAGAGACAGAACATGTTAATGGACATACGAATACATACCTAATGTTGAAATTCGTCGTTGCACCTTCTACCCGGGATCTCTTTATTAACAAGTGAGTAATGTTGTTGCTATTTGCTTCTGCTGGTACCTCTGCAGCAAGCTATTTCCACTTATTTCTTGTGTTTTAATTCTTATAATTGTGCTTCTGTAGGACTAATGACTTCTGACCAAAAGAACAAACATGTCTGCTCAGCAAAGTCGGAAGCTGAGATGAAACTTAGGCGACATGAAACGTATAGACTAATATTTGCCGGAAAAAAAGAAGCACTATTACTACAACGACGAACAAAAAGACAAGAGTCAAAAAAAAGGTATTTGTCCGACAATGATGGTTTCCATGGCACTACTGAAGCTGCATTTGAGTTTCAGCAACAAATTGTTCCTCTGGTGGGCTCTTCAGCAACAGGTTAGAATACATCTTTTGTTCTTTTACTTTTTGTAGAAGTGTCGCTTCACGGTCTTTGCATGTGAGTTTAATTAAATGATGCTAATTGTGTGATGTTTCCCCTATTAGCCAACGAGCCTCACGTTGATGCTTTGCCGGTTACAATTGAAAAGCAAAAGAATATAACTTATCCCTTCTACTCCTTTGAAATAGGCAAGTATCAAGGATACAACATTGAGTTATATATCTACGATACATAACGTCTTTATTATTGCTAATTAATTACTTTTTGGCATTAGGCTCAACGTCACATGCATGTAATGAAAACAGTAGTATGAGCTCAAGAATGGTTGGAAAAAAAGGTTTGCCCCAATCTTTTATTATGATAGTATTGTATATTACCTAATTGGTAGTTTTATGCTAATGATACCTAAATATACAGGTTATAACTCACAAAAAAAAAGTTGTTCATACGTTGGTCAATTACAATCTGATTATATTCCCTTGAAAACTGTGCCTAACTGTAAATTTTGTGGTGCCAAAAAATTTGAATATGAACCACTTGGATTTTGCTGTAACAATGGTTCGATCAAGTTAGTTTCACATGAGATGCATGTTGAATTACAGAATTTATATTTAGGAACTACCGAAGAATGTAAACATTTTCGAACATATATCAGAACATACAATAATATGTTTGCATTTACATCACTTGGTGTAAATTATGACAAAGAATTAGCAAAAAGAAATCGTGGTATATATACATTTAGAGTTCAAGGGAAGATGTATCATTTTATCAACGATTTACTCCCTCCGAGTGGAATAGCAAGAAATCTACAACTATATTTCTACGACAACGACAACGAATTAGCTAACAGAATGGCTTGCTCAGACAAAATCCATGAATCAATAGTCAAAAAACTAATGAATATACTGAGAATTAATCCATATTCTACTTTCTTAAAATCCCTAATAGATGTTCCAAATCTATCGAACTACAATATTGCACTTAAATCTGACTCAGGCTTGGATCAACGTGTATACAATCTTCCTACTACATCAGAAGTTGCAGGGATATGGGTTGAAAGAGAAATCACTGAAGTTAGTTCTGCACCTCATATTCGAATCTACACTCACAGCAATAGATCTCAAATAGTGAACTACTATTACGGATGTTATGATCCGCTACAGTATCCACTATTGTTTCCATATGGTCAAAGTGGATGGCACTGTGGCATTAAAAAAATTATACAACCAAAAGATACTTCTAAACGTCGAGCCTATTGTGAACACGAAGAATTACCAAGTATTATATGTGTTCTGTAGATGGATACCTTGACATGGAAGCTCAAAATCTTGAAAAAGGAAAACGAAAAAGAGATAATATCTCTCTTCGTGAATATTACTGTTATAAATTCCAAATGAGAGAAGATGAAACAAATGAAACTTTGCATTCTGGAAGATTATTCCAACAATATTCAGTAGATGAACACATAAAACTTGAAACACAGAGATTGGACTTTTTTTCATTCAATCCAGATCTCTTTAGGATAGAAATGCTACAAGGACTCATTGATGTTTTAAGACTTGGAGAAAGAGACGCTTCAAATATAGGAAAGCAAACATTCCTTCCTCTTACTTTTATAGGCGGACCAAGAGACATGCATCGATGCTACATGGATGCTATTTCTTTGATACAACAATTTGGAAAACCTGATCTATTCATAACGATGACTTGTAACCCATCTTGGCCCGAGATAAAAGAGCACTTGCTACCAACTGACGAAGCACAGAACAGACCTGATTTAATTAGTCGAGTTTTTAGAGCAAAGATAGAAGAACTAAAAACAGATATATTAAAAAGAAATATCTTTGAAAAAGTTGCAGCTTTTATGTATACTATAGAATTTCAAAAACGTGGTTTACCACATGCTCATTTTCTTATTATACTTACTAATGAATACAAACTACTCACTCCAGAATCTTATGACAATATTGTTCGTGCTGAGTTACCTGATTGTAAAGCTGAAGAAACCTTATATAAACTTGTTCTCCAACATATGATGCATGGACCTTGTGGTAAGTTAAATCCTACAAATTCATGTATGAAGAGGAAGAAGCAGATAGGACAAAGGCCTTCTCTTTCCGTCCGCTCTTCCCGAAGTGCCAAAAGAAAAAAGGTTGTTGCAAATTCAATTATCCAAGAAGCTTTGCTGATCAAACATCAAAAGGAAAAAATTCTTACCCAATTTATAGAAGACGGAACACAGGACTTGTGAAAGTCAAAGATCATTATTTCGATAACTCATGGGTTGTCCCTTATAATCCATTCTTACTTGGAAAATTCAATTGTCACATAAATGTTGAAATTTGTTCAGATATTAAAGCTGTTAAATATATTTATAAATACATATGCAAAGGACATGATAAAATTGCATTTCACATACATGACAATGACGCAAATGTTGAAGTAGATAAAATAAAAGAATATCAGTCTGCTCGATGGGTATCACCGTCTAAGGCTACATGGCGTTTATTTGGTTTTCCTATTAATGAAATGACACCAGCTGTTTATCATCTTCAGTTACATCTTGAAGGACAACAATTTATTTCTTTTAAGAGTGCATCGAGTATAAACTCAATTATGAATAATCCTATGATTAGAAAAACAATGTTAACAGAATTTTTTGAAATGAACAAAACAAATAAAGATGCAATAAAACTCAATCTACTGCATAAAGAATTTCCACAATATTTTGTATGGTCAGTACAATATAAAATATGGACCCGTCGAATAAAGGGTAATGTCATTGGACGTGTTGTAACATCTCATCCAACAAAAGGTGAAAGATATTATCTGAGATTATTATTAATGAATATAAGAGGACCAAAATCATATAAAGATCTACTAACTGTAAATGAAGTACGTTGCGACATTCAGAGAATCAGCTCAAAAAAGAGGACTACTTCATTGTGACAATAACTTAGCTGAATGTATGGTAGAAGCTGAGAGTTATCAAATGCCATGTAGTTTGAGACGCTTGTTTGCTACATTGTTAGTATATTATGATCCTGCTAATCCAAGAGAATTGTGGGAGAAATTTGAGGACTCTATGTCTGAAGACTTCAAAATTTTACCAGACATCGGAACAAAAAATATTCGATATAAAGTTTTAGACTGTCTCAATGACATCTTACATTCGATGGGACATAACATTAATGAGTATAAACTTATCCCTGAAAATTTCAAGGCTTCAAAGGCTGCCAAAGAAGCAAGAGAAATATTCTTCGAAAGAAACATAATCGTTACTGAAGAAGAGCTATTACTGCGACAAAAGTTGAATCGTGAACAACAGATGGCATACAATGTAATTATAGACAGAATATCTTCAAACAGAGCAGGAGCTTTTTTTGTTGACGGTCCTGGAGGAACAGGTAAAACCTTTTTATATCGTGCCTTATTAGCTACTGTGCGATCTAAACGATTTATTGCTCTAGCAACAGCAACCTCTGGAATTGCGGCTTCGATTCTTCCAGGTGGCCGTACAGCTCATTCCCGTTTTAAAATTCCCATTGACATTGATGAAAACTTTAGTTGCAATATTATCAAACAAAGTTCACTTGGTTGTTTGATTCGAGATGCAAAATTAATTGTATGGGATGAAGTATCGATGGCAATAAAGAAAATGATTGAAACTTTTAATCTACTTTTGAAAGATCTCTTGAATACTAATGTGCTTTTTGGTGGTAAAGTTGTTGTCTTTGGTGGTGATTTTAGACAAACTCTACCAGTAGTTCGAAATGAAAAAAGAGAAGATTTCATTCATGAGAGTTTATTATATTCTGACATTTGGCCCCGACTTGAAAAATTGCAATTGTCAGAAAACATGCGTGCAAAAACTGATCCGGCCTTTTGTGAATATTTGACGAGAATAGGAAATGGAAAAGAACCTCTTACTTCTGAAAACAAAATTGAAATTCCAAATTCATTTATTGTCCCTTATACTATTGAACAGGAATCTTTGAATGCATTATTTGAAACAACATTTCCTAATATGCATGCTTTCTTCCGTGATACATCTTGTGTAACTTCTCGTGTTATTTTGACGACGAAAAATGATTTTGTAAATGAAATAAATGATATTCTTATAAGCAAATTTTCAAAAGAAGCTAAAACATTTGTTGCAATTGATGAAACATGTGAATCGAGTGATCAAAGTCAGTATGAAGATTTTTTGCATTCTTTAAATCCTGTTGGTTTACCTCCTTACAGATTAACTTTGAAAGAAAATTGTCCAATTATATTACTACGAAATTTGAATCCTTGTGAAGGTTTATGCAATGGCACAAGATTGACATGTAGTGATTTTAAAACACATGTTATAAGCGCAAAAATTACAAGCGGCGACTTTAAAAACACACATGTGTTTATTCCGAGAATACCATTGATGTCATCAGAAGATGAAAAATCACCAGTGCAGTTTAAAAGAACACAATTTTCAGTAAAACTGTATTTTGCTATGACTATAAATAAATCACAAGGTCAAACATTAGATTTTGTTGGTATATATTTACGAGAACCAGTATTTTCACATGGCCAGCTTTATGTTGCATTGTCGAGAGCAAAAGCTGCCAATTGTGTTAAGATATTAATTCGGCCGCCAAACAAATAGTGATGACGATCATTCTACATACAATATAGTTTATGATGAAATCATTCAAAAGGCTTTCTTGTGAATCTTTTACATGTTACTATATAGCGTCTGCTGAACTAAATAGAGTTGAACATACAGTTTGAACATACAATTTCAGCACAAGAATACCCATCTTGTTTGTGGAACATGTACTTCGGAATTCGCAGAATAAAGTTAACGCACGCAGTTAAGCATATTTATCAGTTTCTACACATGATGGTGATTTTTTTTTTGGTTCTCAAAATTGATTTTTATTGAAGTGATGATGGCGGTGACATCGGCCTGTAAAGACAGTAAAATGGGGATGGACAATGAGAAATATGTGAGGTACACTCTTGAGCAGGTTGAGGCTTTGGAGAGATTATATCATGAATGTCCAAAGCCCAGTTCACTCCGTCATCAGCAGCTGATTCGGGAGTGTCCAATTCTGTCCAACATCGAGCCAAAACAGATCAAATTTTGGTTTCAGAATAGAAGGTATCCAGCAAAATTATCCTGTTGGATTTTGAAAATTGTTTTGCTTTCCTTTCATGCTTATTGGATTGAACTATTCAGATGATTACCGTGTTGTATTTGTGCAAGTGCAAATGTAGAGAGAAGCAGCGTAAAGAATCGTCGCGTCTTCGAGCCGTGAACAGAAAATTACAGCAATGAATAAGCTGTTGATGAAGGAAAATGATAGGCTGCAGAAGCAAGTTTCACAGTTGGTGTATGAGAATAGCTTTTTCCGCCAACAGACTCAAACTGTAAGCAGTCTATTCTTACTTGTCTTCTTCTTGGATTTTTTAAAGATTGTGTTTTGGGTGTTGCTTATGGCAACTCTTTCTAATTACTTAGAAGATCGAAGAAAAGAATTGGTTTGGAAATATATAACTTAGAAATGCTACCTATAGAAGCAAGAATCTGCATATGATGTATTTTATGGTATTTCTAAACATTTGGCATTTTTATTTAGTTCGATGGTTAACTCTTGAAAATAATCATCGGGAAAGATAAAACATGTATTTGTATATGGCTTTTCATTTTATCAATACAACTCGATGTTTCAATTTTAAAGAGTACATGCGAGCAGTAATAGTTTCGTTCTCTTTGTTTCCCCGATGACTTAGTTCTTCCTAACTGTCATACTTCAATATTGCAAGCAGCCCTTACCACCACAGACAACAATAGTTGTGAATCTGTGGTGACGAGTGGTCAGCAAAACTTGTCCGCTCATCGTCCACCAAGGGATGCAAGCCCTGCGGGGTAAGTACACGTTTTCTGAGTCTAATTCTCTTTTTTGTTTTTGCATTATTTTCCATAGTATGTCTAATGATATATGAATATTTTCAGATTTTTGTCCTTAGCAGAAGAAACTTTAACAGAGTTTCTATCGAACGCCACTGGAACCGTTATGAAGTGGGTCCAAATGCCTGAGATGAAGGTTTGTTCCCTTTCCTATCTTTCAATTTATAGAAGTCATGATCAAGTTTTTTGAGTGTTGTTAACGATTTATTAACTAGGTAAATGACTCCTTTATTCACAGTTCTTTAATTGTAAATGTTTTAGACTTGCGCTTCCATGGCATTATTTTCTTGCATTATTATCTCTTAAATCTCTTGGCAAAAAGAGCCGCATGGTAAAAATCCTCTCTGCAGTGAATTTTCTTGCTTGCTTCCTCTTTATTTAATCATAATCACTTTTGTTTTAGTTAAAATATGAAGATATTTCTTACTCATTCGTCTTGCTCCGCTTATGTTGTCAGGCTCATAAAAAATCTTAGTTTTAGCAGCTCCCTTTACACAATTGCATCAATAAATCAAGCTTTGAATCGCAATTGGCTCTGGATGACGCTTTAGCTAGATCACTGCATTTAAGGGATGATTTTGAGGATTTCTGTAGAGATGAGCTTAATTCTACTGTGGCTGGTAATTTCGTAAGAAACACTTCTTGGTCATACAGCTCTTATCTCTGCTTTACCTAGATCTTTATTCCTCTGTTAATAGAGATTTGATATTCTTCTCTGTGGTTAAAGAAGATGTTAGTTATCTTATTATAACCGGTCTATAAGTATAACCGTTCTATAACCGCAACCAATGATATATACACACCAAGATGTTACAACTTTGCCAAAATTAAGGCTTTTTTACACTGAACTTTAGAATTCTTTCAAACAAACAATGTTCAATATATATTATATACATCTAAAACCTAATATTTTACCTATATATGGAGTGTGATTTTTCGACGAAGGATGGTTGCCCATGGAAACGACACAAAGAAATTACACAGTGTACGCAAGCATTGCAATTTTTAAACCTTTCATCATTAGCTAGATCTAGCGTGGACAAGTTTCAAATGGCAAACGACTTATATAAATATTACCATTTTAATAATGATAGGTATATTGGCAAGGTTTTTCTATGGATGTGCATAAGATTGTGCAAGTGGATCTCAAATTTCCTACCAAAGCAATTGTCTCAGCAGTTGCCAAGGACTTTATTGGTCAGATTTTTCTCTAATCCATTGAGATACTTTAAAATATTGCAGCACGTAATCTCGGGGATAACTTGTTCTTTTTAATTCATGTTTCTGGGGTTTAGATGCTTGTAAGGATTCTACTCTGGAAAAGGTACTTGGGCATACTTGGATTGTGCAGAATGCAGATCCTTCAGGTGTTTAACTATTCGTTCTCCCAGAGAACCTTATAGGAGGTCAATTTTATTGCAACCTTTAAGGTGAGTTCTTTGTTTCATTTTACTTTTAATCTGCTCCTAATTTGGAGTTCCTTATAAAGAGATAATACACAGATCTAAGTGATATAACGAACTACAGCCTCTCTTTAACTTGGTTAAGTGTGAAGCAGAGTTTCTGCATGTTTAATTGGATTGTAGGATCTGTTAGTTTCAAAAGTTTCTTCTGAATGTTATACTTTATTTCTGCCATTAGGTTTCTATGAGGAATAAAGCATAGAGCAGAATGTTTTTTCCATTTTTGTTGCTGCAGCTTTGCTCTTTTATAGTAAGCGCATAGCTGAAAAAGCTTGGTTGAGCTTTTAACAAAATGATAATGAGACTATAATCGTTAATGTGCGACTTGTATGGAATTAGATGTTGGAAATGATAGATAACTTTGTGGAGGGGGGAGTTCTGCCATTAGTGTTTGTGTTGTTGAATCAATTAATATCCTGTTGTGAGAACTGGAAAGAAGGAATAGGATCAGAATACGCTGGATTTCTTGTTTCCAAACTTTCACTTCCATTAGTTTACCGTATATTGCATACAGTAAGGAAGGTTTAATTAGATTAGCAACATTCGAACTTGTACATATATAGTTGAACTATGACTTTTGTGTCATTAAACTTTTTCTTAACAATTGTTGCTTCCATTGACATAAGTAATTGGCAACACTGTTGTGATCAACATATAGGTATCCAAAGTTGAATTACATGTATACTGGGGTTCTATTACGATTTGCTTCAAGATTGTTGAGTGGGTTACTGTATGTAATAGTGTCTCAAAATGAGAACTAATGTAATTCCTCATTGAATGCACCATTTCCAGATCATTGGATGATTTACTAGCTTAAAAAGGTCAGTTTCAACATTTGCTATGTTGTTCCTAATGTTCTTTGATGAGGTAATATAAATTCAGCATTTAATCGAAAATTTTACGGTACAGACTCTGGAAATCCAAGATTTTTATACCTTAGGATTTTCTGTAGACTTAAATTGATATTATATGTTGATAAAAAAATTGATACTCCTATTATTTAGCTCCTTTTTTAATGACAATGGATGTCACTAGCCAATTTATCAGGTGATGATCTCCATCTCTTCATAATTAGCTCGATGTCGAGCATGTTTGGTATGATAGCAATAATTTTTTATTGGAAAATTTTTCAATTTTTAGTCGGTAAGTAAATATTCTAGAAAATATTAAAGAATAAAAATATCTAATGATGTCCAATTTCCTAAATATCTGAAGTTGTTCGCTAATCATATGTTTAAACATCCGCAGATCAGTTTTTAATTCATGGCACTCTTCATCTCTATTGCCGCCAATGATTGATGAAGAAATAAGCAGTTTTGGATTATTGGAGACGCATCCTCGCATTTTTTTGCGCTCTTTCAAAGATTGCTTAAGGTTTTGGCTGCTGTGGAAACAAGTTTCACTGTCACATCCAAAGCAGGAAACGATGGGGCATTTTCCGATATCTATATCCTCAAGTGGACATCATTTTGTCAGCTATTTTAGCCTTAACTTATATAGTTTTATGCATTTGGCCAGCAGTTAACGTAACTAATCGTATTGATGAAAGGTAGATTTTTCCATACAGGCATAACATGGAAGTCTTCCGTACAATGTCACAGACGAGATATAGAATCCTAATAATAGATTCTTATAGAGTAAAAGCTGAAGCTTAACAATTCGAAATATGTCAAATTTACTTATTGTGGAATGTTATTGCTTCTTTGATTTTGCTTATTGTTGCTTGTAACAACTTTTTTAAAGATCTATTGGGCCCGGGCTTAGCCCGGGCAACACCCTACTAGTAAGTGTAGGAAGTATATTCGAAGTGATTTAGGGATTAAGAAGAATTATAGAACCAAGCTAAGTTAAAACTACTAAATGACCTAAAGTTTTAAATGAATTTGAACAAGATTCGACTTCAAAGGAGCGCAACTCTCAATATATGAAGAGTTATATGATGCAAGATTTATATAATAAAAGCTCTATCAGTTTAATTTTTAATATTTTAAACCGTTTGTCATTCTACAAGAAGTTATGGCCTTTTTACTAAAGGGTAGTAGAACAACTACACGAGCAGGAACTTGATGATGTAGGCTATGCGGCTATGCATAACCAAAACCAGTGGCTTCCCGGTTTGATAAAAAAGAAAATGATCAACTTGGGCGTAGGCTATGTGAGCAAGCCCTCAACCTACGCGACCTCTAGTTCTTTTTAAAAAGGAGCTGAAGCGTGGGTTTAGATAGAATAACTTAGGTTTTGAACTTGGAATTGAATTTTAGAGAAAATGAGGAGCTCTTCTATCATGAATACGCATCAAGGTAAGTGCTTATGGTACATTAACAATGGTATAGCATATATTAGTATAAGATCTAATACTTTTTATGAATCTGCCATGACCAAAAATTCGAACCAATCAAGGTCGTGATGGAGCCTAACACCGCTTTCTAGGCAAGCCAACACATAATAAAAAATACGAAAGAACTCCAGTTTATGACTAACAGCAAGATAATAATATGATATAAGAGCAACTAAGAAGTATATAATGATATGTCTAAGTTCAAGAGTAACGTTCAACCATACCAAGATGTGAAGTCACAAGTACATGAGCTACTAGAGTTTTCTAAATACAACGTCTTCAGAGAAATGCAATACTGTATGGAAAGTAGAAATAGTACAACAAAAAGGAAAATGACTCTAAGGCCTGCGAACGGTGTGCAGATCTACCTCGAGTCGTTTAGGTGGTTTCAGCTAAGCACCTTTCGCGACTTCGCTTGTACCTGTGACGATCCGATATATCGTTTTAAGTACTAGCTCTATTTCCGTATTTTGAGACCTCTCATAGCTTCATTTTATGTTTATTGGTTTGCGTGCATGACCAATATCGTTTTACGGAAAGCATTTATTAAAATTTTGAAGAAAAAGAAATTTTTGACTTAAAATAAGGCTAGAGTTTACCACGGTCAACGTTTTTGGTAAACGACCTCGAATTGGTATTTTGACAATTTCAATAGGTTCGTATGATATTTTTTGACTTGTACGTATGCTTGGTTGGGGTCTCGGGTGATCCGAGCGCGTTCCAACGCATTATGTAAAAGATTGTGAAGAAAATGAGTTTTTAAGTTGAAATCTTGAGTTTTGATGATCAATTCTTATTATTTAATGTTATTTTGATGATTTGAGGTAGCGAGCAAGTTGGTATGATGTTATTACACTTGTGTACATGTTTGATTTAGAGCCCGAGGGACTCGGGTGAGTTTTGGATGTGCTATGGTTGAATTTGGAACTGCTGTTTCTCAACAGTTGTTGGTGCATGGTTGAAAGTCTTGCATTTGCGAGAACCTGATCGCAATATTGAGCTTTAAATTTGCGATGTCCGGCTCGGAAATGCGTACATGGGCTGGGGAACTGCTTTTGCGAAGAATTCAACGCATTTGCGACGTGGAGGAGGTCCGCATTTGCGACCATTTTATCGCTTCTGTGATGATTGGGAATCATGGAATGTTTCGCAGATACGAAGCAAGCACCGCATTTTCGATGGGTGGGAACTTCACAAATGCTTGGTCTTTGTCGCATTTGTGACTTCTGTGGTCAGATGCACTGCTTGCATTTGAGATCAGCGTCTCACAATTACGAACATTGCAATTGCGAATGCTTGTTCGCAATC